TTCAGGTTGTAAATCATGTTTTTAAAAAGTAACTAAGTAATTAATTACTTTTGAAAATAAGTAATCAGTAAAGTAACAGGATTACTTTTTGGGGGAAGTAATCAGTAATTAGTTACTGATTACTTTTTTCAAGTAACTTGACCAACACTGGTCAACACACCTGAATCAAATGATTAGTTCATTACCAGGCCTCTGGAGAACTTCAGGACATATTTGCTGTGTCCGAATTCAGGGGAAGGATGCTCCGAAGGATTCTATCTACCTACGTATTTTAGGTAGTGTCCTTCGACGGCTAGGTAGGCAGGAAGTGGGTGGCTGTGGACAGCCTTTTTTTGTCATAGAAACTTGATTGGACAAACAATGAGTATACAACAAAACATGTGCTGTGGACAGCCTTCGAGCCTTTGTTCAAGGCCGCCCTTCCGTGTTTTTTCCGGTCGCTAGCGCCACAGAGTGAAAACTTTAAAATGGACCCAAAACTGTCACTCCCTTTATCTGTACATTTTTAATTCTCGATGAGCTAGAAAAACTTTATCGTCGACTATCAAAATAAAACAGAAAATAACAAACACTGCGACCAAGACTAAGAGACACGAGCTTGACATGGAAGAGGAAGACTGAACACATGGACATGATGGAGGAACAGAACGGCCTCATAAACAACCTCCCATTAACTTAATGCACTGATAACCAGAACATAACCAGATATCAAAAAGTCAGGATGTCAACAATACAGAAAAAAGACCTTTCATACAAAGACAATCAAAACTAAAAAACCCATAAACATCTCCAAAACTCCAAACCCAATGACCCAGAGACTGACAGAAATATGACATTCTCAGTTTTAACAGCGACTCATTAAGAAACTTATCCATGTAGTAGAAAAACTGTGCTGACCTACACTTTACCTGAAAATCCTGTGTACAACACAACTGTGTAACTCAAATGAAGGTTAAAAGGCAGTAAAAGAGAAAAAATGAGAAAAAACAAGACAAAAAGTCCTAATCATGCAATATTACTACTTCACAGAAAATATTATTATATAACTTTAAGAAAGTACTCACTGCAGGTACTCGCTGGATTCTTCGTAATGTTAAATATTGAGAGCTGGAGCAGCAACACTGAAGTGTGGTTTTCAAAGTGAGTTCCAACAGATTTTATACATTCCAGCCACAGAGGCAAGTTTATACCTGCCCGTTTGTTTTTAAACAGTTTAAACCAGTTATACTGGTTTGTACCCAGGGTGGCTCTTTACAGTGGTGGCTCTCAAATTATTTTTCATGGTTCTCAAGCCACACTGTGACATCTCAAACAAATGTAGTCTTTCGCTTTAAGACACTAGTTAATATTAATAGTTCCACAATCAGGAGAAGACTGAGCAACCATGGTGTGCATGGCAGAGGTATAAAGCGAACACGCTGCTCATCTGCAGAGGAATGGTTTATTTGAAGAGTTTCAGTCAGGTTTCAAATATGATCAACCTATCTCTAATAATCAGCTATGTACCACAGGCCTTCAAG